GGGGGCCATGCTCAATTAGAGGAAGTTTTTTCCACAATGGACATTCCCCCGATGAGCAACAAAACCTTTAAGAAAATAGAGGACAAGGTAAATATAAATTATTTTAGGGAAACATTTACTGTATGTCCACTTATTTGCTTTGGATATAACGTAAGTTAAAAAGTTTAACCAATCCTTTATCCAATATCATATAATTCATTTCACGGCTGTTTGTTTATCACTATTATTAACTTTATTTGATGTAAAATTATTATTATTATTCAAGATTTGCCATTTGCTACAATAACGTCGTATATTGGAGACCGTTACTAAGTTGTAGTTATTATTTTTTTTTTATATATGTACAATAGTTAATATTTAATTATATAACTACCTTTTAGGTAATCTCGGAGTTGGTAGCTACAGCTGAGTGTGAAATGAAAGAAGCAGCACAGGAAGAAGCAAGACACGCAGTAGAAAATGGAGAGGTTGACGAAGATGGCACGCCGCTTCTCACTGTCGTTGCTGATGGCAGCTGGTGCAAAAGGTCCTACAGATCTAATTACTCGTCACTGTCAGGAGTGGTAAGTAGGTTTGACCCCCCGTCTGGGCAAACAAATGTTGTGCTAGTTTTTTTAGAATTTTTTTACGAAATATTTAATCAATTTACTCAACTAATAATTACCGTAAGCTTTTCATACAAAATCTTTTATTATTTTGTGTTAAATTAAACGGTTGGTTGGATATCAGTTTTGTTATGGTTAGTTAGCCATCAGCAGGGACGTAACTAGGGGGGGGGGGGGGGGTGAATGATAAATGCTATATAACTGTTATTTTACTGTTTACGAATCATAACGGTACGTATGAACTTGTACGGTGCGAGAATGAGGATAAGCATACTGCGTTATCTGTCTGTCGTCGATGAGTCACTAGGACGGCGCCGGCGCGGCGTCAAAACACTTCCACACCCCTCCCGAAACCCACCTACCCCTCCGCACACCATCCCTCACACCAGTCACCACGCACACACACACACACACATACTACAAACACAACACTAGCAATACTAGTAATATTATTAGTTACTAGCAATATTATTTTCGTGAATCATTTCGTTTTCAAATAAAATATTTGTCTTTGAAAATACGAACCATATTGCATTCAATTATTTACCACCTATACAGTATCTAGGCCTTAATACTTTGTACTTGGGGTTAAGCATTTTAAGATCTAAATACTGTTGTATTAATGTATTGCACCGATGGACACACCACACATTTTTTAAGAAGATTTGTAAGGAATTGGGTTCAGTCCAATTGAAGGGGGGGCGCCAAAATAGGTGTTTGCCCCGGGTACTGAATAGCCTAGTTACGTCCCTGGCCATCAGTATTTTTGGATGGTTGGGCCATTGTTGGAGAATGGTTGGTTGGAAAACAGTTCAAAGTGATGGCATTTCTACCGTTGGCCAACTGTGTGGCTCCACAATTTACCAACGTTGGCCCAACCATCTGTGCTACATGGGCTTGCGAATAATCACCTTTCACTCCATCACATCAAATTGGGTGTGACAGGTTTATTGCTACGAGGGTATTTATCTGTTCTCAAAAGAAAATAATTCTCTATTATAAAAAATTGGCAACTAACGCGTGTATGTAATGTGTACTACTAAGGTTTTTATTTACAGGCGGCTATTGTCGGCCACAATACAAAAAAGGTGCTGTACATGGGAGTGAAGAATAAATATTGCACTCCATGCTCCCGAGCTGCATCTTTAGGAAAGGAGCCAACAGAGCATACCTGCTACAAAAACTGGGAGTCAACCCAGAGCTCTTCTAGCATGGAACCTGCCATCATCGCAGACGGCTTTCAACGTAGTGAAGAGATGTATGGAGTGAGATACGCTCGTCTTATCGCAGACGGCGACAGTAGCGTATACAAAAGGATTAGAGAGAGCAGACCATATAAAAGTATTACTGTTGAAAAAATAGAATGTAAGAACCATTTGCTGCGAAACTTCTCCAACAAGCTAAGGCAAATTGCAGTTACATCGAACAAAAACAAAAACAGTATCCTTATGAGGAAAAAATTGGGTGAAAACGTTTTCCGTTGTAGAATGGCTGTCCAAAAAGCCCAGGAATACAGGAAGAAACAAGATTTGCCAAACGTAGAAAAGATTAAACAGCTGAGGCTGGATATTTTGAATGTACCCAGTCATGTATTTGGACAGCATGAGCATTGTAGAGAAAGGGGATACTTTTGTACAAAGGAAGCGCAAGATGTAAATAGTGAAGGAAATTTTGTTCCACAGTTAGTGTCCGCTGGATTGTATAATTTAATCTGTGATGTTATTCGTGACCTGAGCCGCCATTCACGGAGTTTGATCACGGATGTAACCTCTAATGCAGTTGAGCACTACAATTCGATCGTGGCTAAGTACATAGGAGGAAAACGGGTGAACTTCGCCATGAGAGGATCGTACCAAGGACGGTGTTCAGCGGCAGTTCTTCAACATAATACAGGAAACACCCACTACGTACTCCACAAGCACATGTACAAAGCTAGCCCTGGATATTATACCAAAAGTACAGGTTTGAAAAGAAAAAGAAAGGTTGAGAAAGGACAGGGACAGAAAAAATCAAGAAAGACATTGTTTCAGGTGAGCTCTAACAGCGATGCGGATTATGGCGTAGCAGCCCAAAAGCCGGACATCGACGAGGAAACAATGAAAATGGAAACCGAAGAATTTCTAAAAAAACTTCAACGATCAGAAGAGGAAAGAATTCGAATCGAGCGAGCCACCGTCGAACAAAGTGACAGTGGAGAGTGGCTCGAAATACGCCGTAACCTATTGACCGCCTCTAATTTTGGGCGTGTATGTAAAATGAAACCAACGACCGGTTGTGGTTCGTTGGTAAAGCAATTATTATACTCTACTTTTGACTGTGAGTCAATGGCCTACGGCCGCCAAAATGAACCGGTGGCCAGAGAAGAAGCTGCTTCTTTATTACAGAAAACGATACAACCATGCGGCTTGTTTATCGACGACGAAAAACCTTTTTTAGGGGCATCTCCTGATGGGTTAATCGACGATGATGGCTTGATTGAGATCAAATGCCCATCTTCATGCAAAAACCTGACACCGGATGAAGCAGTCATCTCCAGAAAATGTACATTTTGGAAAAAGGAAAAGGATGGAACGATTGGTGAAATAAATAAGGGGCATGACTTTTACTACCAAATGCAAGGCCAGTTGAGCATTACAAAACGACGTTATTGCCAGTTTGTACTGTGGACAACTAAAGGAATAAAAATGGAAAAAATCGAACGAGATGATGAGTTCTGGCAAAATAACATGGTCCCTAAGTTAGAGAGATTTTATCTCAATTGCATTCTACCTGAATTAATTGATCCCCGCCATTGCAGATCAATGGAAATCCGAAATCCGTCGTATATTGTTAATGCCCAGGAAAAGCAAAAAGCATCTAAGAAGACAAACAAAAGCGATGGTTAAATGTCATCATAGCTTGTAAAATGATCATTCATTTTTGTACATATAATTATTTTTAATACATGTTTGTTTTGATTTTTTTTTTTTAAAGACTCATTAACATCAACTACATTGTAAAGCCGAAATAAATAGTTTTCTAAAGGAAAACATGAGTATTGAATTGACCATACCCATTTCCATCAAATTATTTAAACTCAGTTATATAAATTGAGTGTAAATGAAAACTCAATTCCATAGAAGAACTTTTAACGTAATGTAATAAAACATATATTGAAAAAACAACAATTAGTTATGGTATCTCATTTATGAAATAAATAAAGTAATGAATAAATAAATAAATAAAGCTATGAAATAAATTGCATATTTGCATAAACGTAAAATTTCAAATTTAATTCAGTTTTACCAAAATAATATAGTAATAATTACCGGCTTCTCGCACGCACTACATACATTTTAAAACTAAAAAATTAAATTTTAAAACGTATAAATTAAATTTGTACGTTAAAAATTAGCGTAGAATTGCATGCCGAATGTTTGTTTGTGTAAAAAGACAGATTCATTCGACCCGTCGCGTCGGCCACAGTATTGCACCATTTAGAAATGTACGAACTGTCCATTTTTCAACACTGCTCTAACCATGGAAGTTACGATCAATAGGCTCAAGGTCAGAAACTAGCCGTGCGGGTTGCGGACCGTACAAATGCAGGAGTCGCAGATTGACGATTTTCAACCTGACTCCTGCCGCCTCTTAAAAAACTCCTTTAGTAGAGATTTCTTCCTTACGGATCAGCTAAAGACAATTTTATTGTTAGTTCCGCCCTGTGCGCTGTAGAGGTCGTGTTTTGTTTATAATTTGTTTCTTGTTATTTCAGTACGGTAATTTAAAACCTCGTTTAACCAAATAAAACGATCTAATAATAAACAATGACTCGTCCCCTAGCTATATAAACACAAGGTAAAGCACGAATCATGAAATTAACCCTAAAATAATAAAACTTCGTCAACACTAACGATCCAGTGTCACCGGACATGAACTAGACACAAAAAACATTTACAATGGAATGAGAAGTCTACTTTTGTTGGTTAGTTGGTTAGTCTATGTTAGTATTCAAAGTGTTAATTTAACTCAAGCAAAAAATAACTTGCAACACAAGACATCAACTTTGCCTGCATACTGCACGAGAAATTTCCAAACTACAAAACAGTCTCCAACTGTTAATTAAAAATATATTAACAATACAGTACCTATATCAAAAATTGTAATGTGTTTAAAAAATACTTATTATGTATTAGAATAGCTGACAAGTAACATTTCTGTGCATCATAGTTTCATGAAACTTAATTTGATGTACCTATGTAACTTAAGTTATTACAAACATGATTGATAGGAATTTTAAACCAATTGATTTTTTCTCCGTTAAGTCTTAGACGCTTCGCTCAAACTGAATTGCTCTGTTTATGGGGACTAAAGTTGTAGTTTAAACGAATTGTTGAATGTGGCTGTTGGTTACAGAGTTCAGGCAAGAAACTGCTGCTTGACGTGGGAGAAGACAGACTTGTGTTGCGTTCTGCCAAGTCTGGGTCATTGCTGGATATATTCCTGCCGTATTCTGTAGATCAGGACGGAACATGTGCTCACTTTGACATCACCAATCAGGTAAGTACGAGGCTATTTTGAAATTAAGGAAGCTAGGCGAGCGCCGATTAAAAACTTTGAAAGACAGGCTTGTTTTCCTCCTCAGTGACTGTCTATCCGTCACAACGAAGTGTGATTGTGCTACCGATCCTTGCAATAGGCTACTCAAGCTAAGAATGTGTGCTGCAATTGAAAATCTTTTTAGTTTTGAGGAGCAGTTTGTAAAACGATTTTTGTTTAACAGAGATGGGAGAACAAGCTACACAGAATACGTATACCATTACTTCCTATATCGATACTTAGCACTTGGCCTAGCGCGGGCAGTGTAGTGGGTAGGAGGGTGGAGGTAGGGATGAGACCAGACTGCAAACATTTCCGCTGCCTCACGGGGTTGACTCTTTGTATTATGTACTTGTGCACATTCATATGGGTCGCAAAGACAGTTGATGCAACCCGCATGGCGGGACATAAAGTTCTAAACTAGATACTAGTATATGCCAAGTGCCAGCTTAGATGTCACGAGCTGTACACACACTCATGGGTCTCACATCAATGGATATTTTCTGGTTATTAAGTCTCTTGTCGATAATTAGTAGACTTTGGATGACGGGTAAAGTTTCCTTTGGGCACCGATGGATGCCAAAAATAATTATTGAATATCAAATTGGCAGGCAGTTCAATGAACTGTTATTAACAACTGTGATTAAAATCCGCGAGTTTCGTTTACTTTTGTTTAGCCAATACAATCTCATCTTCTATATATATAATTCTGTAAGACCAAATTTTTACCAGAAAATTGTGGACGTCTGGTAAGTCGCAGAAAAGTGGGGGGGTCTTAAATTAAAGGTTTTGACCCCAGGGACTCGGGAAAAATAGCAGAATTCCCATAACGTTACCAGAAAACGAGATATAACGTAAAATATCCACCATAAGAAATGCATGGGGACTGAAAAACGTCTGCATTCTATCAGCTGTTACTTATTTTTTTGCAATGTTTACATTTATTCCGAAAGTCAATGTTGGTAAATAATGTTTTAAAACGAATTGTGTTTAATTTTTTTGTTTTCCGTTTTTATGTATAATGAGTGAAGTAACTAGACAGGGTAGGGGAAGACCTGCAAGACGTGGAAGTGTCCAGGTATTCAACAGATTTAAGAAATGCTGAAAGAGAATGTCATGTAGGGCCTAACTGTGAAAGAATTCCAGAAGCTGTTTTACAACCTGTCTTTAGAAGAACGCTGGAAAATGAGTTAAGTGTTGTTTCTCACAATCTAGGTCCTCTTGGTCCTCTTAACAGCACTTGCATGCACTGTGGGGCATTTCACTTCGCAGATGAGGCCACAAATGGACATTTCAACGCATGTAGCCACAATGGACATGCCACAACCACAAGTAAATGACGAACTAAAAGAACCGTTTTTACATTATTCGAACTTCATAAAAAACATAAGGCAATACAACAGTGCAATAGCTTTTGCGTTGCTTTCCGCTACACAAGAAGAGATTCTGGGAAATGGGCCTTACTGTTTTAAAATTCAGGGACAAAATCATAGATATATTTCTGACTTATTACCGCGAAATGGGGAGTTGCCTTCATAATAATTAATAATAATTTTAACCTTTGCATTTGGTTCTCAAAATTGAAACTATAGCAGAATTCGTAAGATTACAAAACAAATCTTCAATTTTAAACTAGAAAAGATGTGCAATGTTTGGCTGTATGATTTCAGCTCTGATTCGTCGTTCTTCGGGCTCAGGCCAAACCGTGTGCACGTTTCCATTTGTTAATATGTTGTGTTATTGATTTAATCATTATTTTACAATTGTATTTCATTGACACATCAGAAGCAACTAATATACGACTCCAACGGAAGGAAAACCAAGATATAAAACAAGAAACACTGTTAATTTTAAGTAACATAAAATTGATAATTTTAAAAACATTTCGAATATTTGTCTTTTTATACATGGTTTATTTATTGTAGTCTAAATTAGGGGCTATGGACCCTACAGGCCACTAGTTTAATTTAATTACATGTTTTTTTACAGGTTTTGTCAGTGGAGTTACCAGTCATTAGTGTTGGAACTTGATGGAGATAGAGTTTAGAAATAAGTTAGTCAATGTAAACATTTTGTACAGTCCTAAAACAATGAAATAATAACATTCAGATGATTTGTATATTGTTTTCCCCATTAACATGAATTTTGTATTCATGTAGACTATCTGTGTGACATTTAATTCCTACCCACAAACTTCCGTCACATATATGGTAAGCTGGTAACACGTATTGTGGTCATTTACCACATATGCTGCCTCTGGTCACATAGGCCTATGTGGGCTGGTGACACAAATGTGATTACTGGCCACATAGAGTGACAGCCAAGGGTGCCCACAGAAGTTTTTTTAGAGGGGTAATATTGGTAACCGTTTCAGGGGTCAGAGGAAAAAGCCCTCCCCCAAAATATTGTAATATAGTTCACTAAAATACATTTTTGGGCTGCCTAAATGTTAAAAGTCTCTTCTTATAACATTTACAATATAAGTCTACCTGTTTGTCTCTACAAATATTGATTCAAATTTTGAGAAAATAAAATTTAATAAAAGCGATTAAGAACAAATAGGGTTTGCGAAAAGTGGCACATTTGAAACAATAAATACTGCTGAGCAAACATTCAATGGTGCGTTAAGTGGTGTCTAATACTAGAGCTGGTGTCTAGAGCAAAGTCCAACCCAGCCGCTTCTACTAACCCACTCACACTCCTTTTACCCTCTCCATCTTTTTACTACAACGCTCATGCTGGAGGACCCTGTGTCCTGTGCGATAGGAACTCCACACAGTGCTTGCCACTCAGGATCTTCCTTGCTTGTTAGAAGCATATTGCCTAAGCGTAAACACATGCACACTCACAACATTCTAGAACTGAAAGAATATGCTCGTCCCGTAAGCAAGTTTCCTTTGTACCTTCATAGACAAATAGAATGAATATAGACTGTCAAAGGAAAGATGGGCCGCTAGAGCGTGCTAAGTGTTCATCGACTCACCATCTGCTAACAGAAATATCACCCAAACAAAATGCTACCAACATATCAGACTCTTGTTTTGGATGATGTACAAAATCCTGAAATCCTGTAATTTTAACAAAGCCCACTTTTTAAAACGTTCCTGAAATTTACCAAACTCGGCAAAATAACGGAAAAACCCCTACTCTCCAAATGCCGGGGAATTCTCTAGAAGTTGGCAATCCTGGGTCCAACCACCAACTTCTCATGAAAACACTCGCTGGCGCTGCAGCGGTGTGCTCCGAAGCTACATGGCACTCCTAGGGGTGGACTTCAGAATATATGCTAAACACAGCACTGCTGTCGGTCTATATTCAATTCTTTTGTCTGTGGTACCTTACTTCTCTGTGGTGCTATTATCTGTTCTCCACTAAAAAAGATAAATTTAAATAAAAACTGTAGACTTGTTACATTCTAAATGCAATAATGTTTTTTTTTAAGTTCTCTTTGTTATGTTGTTCGACTGTGTTTCCATTTTCTACCAAGGTGAAAAATACATTTTAAATAATAGGCGAGTCAGGGCATAAAATAACATGTTTAACTGGGCGACACAAGTGTCACCCAGTCCTGAGATTTTGTCGCCCAGTGACTATGGGTGTTGCCGGCATATTTTTTTTTTTATGATCCACATTTTAAATTTATTGGAATTTAAAAAGTAACATTATGTAAATATTTTAGAGTAGGGTATTGAGGTATCATTTTGGCCCAAGAGGTTGTGAAGTGAGCCTTTGCCTGTCACAACTTTCTAGAATACGTAATTAAGTGAGATTAAATAAATGGACTATTTGCAAGCAAATATAATAGAAAAATTCATTAAAACATACTTAGAAATGTGTGATTTTCACTTTAATTTATGCAAAAATTCCAGGGGGAACCTTTGGACCCCCCTTTTTAATGGGGGTATCCCCCCCAGACCCCCGGTAAGTCCGGCGCCACTGTCGCCCAGTGGAAATCCCTTAAAATATGCTCTGGGCGAGTTTGTTAAAAAACTTTTATATGGTTCTTTATTGTTCAGTTATTTTGACCCTATCTTCCTTTGTTCATTATGTACCAACTTTTAAATGATTAAATCATGCTAATACATAAATTATATTCATATAATGCATATCCCCCCCCCCATTTTTAAATATTAAATGTTTTATTAATAAAGTTTTCTTTGAACATACACAATATAGATAGGTAGGTAGTATGTGTATAGTCGTACTCAATGGTAGCAGTAAAATATATCTAATTATATATAACCACTGACTTTTAGAGTAGACATAATAATCTATATGGACCAGATGTCGACAAATTGTTATTAAAATAGAAGGTGAATGATCCACTGAGTATGGTTCTGTCTAAATTAAATTCCCCCCTAATTTTTTAATAGGCCTACTGTAATAGTTGGGTTGATATGATTAGCCGTGCTGCGGTTACCATGGTTACCATAGGTTCTGGCGCACACCTTTGGGAGCGCCGTGTAGTTGCCGTAACTATATATTATGGCGCTCCCAGTGGTGTGCGCCAGAACCTATGGTAACAGCTGACGTCTATATTTAATTATTTTTGTATATGATATGATGACTAAAAATATGCTGTAGTTTCCAGTCCTTTCAGTTTTTTGCTCTTTAAACAAATGTTGGCTTAATCAACAGAAATTAGTACCTATTGTTATATGTAAAATCTGTAGGTTAACATATTCATAGTCATATTTAACCACTGCAAGTTACATAAATCTGTATTCCCTTGCCTGTGCTCCTATCCTACATAATCTTCTCAATGTTAGCACTCCATGAGGAGAAGTCGAACCAAATATTAACCTGTTGTTTTGCTTTGTTATATATTTTTATTTATAAATAATCTTAAGTCGCGGTTTACACTTTAGCATGTAATGCGTACTGCGTATACACCCACCGCTCTACCGCTATCCCAGCAGTTACACTATTCGCTGGTAGACGGTGCTGTAAGCGCTGTTGCACCATTCGCGCATGCGCAGACAGTCGCACGCACAGGTTGACGTCTCGAGTTGAGTTTCGCTTCTGTCAGTGTCAATCGGTGGACATTTGTTTTTGTGCGGTAGGTCTGTCGTCTGCTGTTGTCAAAGTGTTGGTGGCCGTGGTGTGTCATGAATTGTTATATTGCTACTTATCGGCTGAAGTGTCACTGCATTCGTCACATGGATTGTAGGAACTTGGACAGCTAAACCAAAGGTGAGGCAGGGCACAGGTGTTTACCACATCTTGTATATAGGTTACCCACTTTTACATCTCACTTCAAGGCAGTCGATAATAGAGATTGTTCAATTTCTCCAGTTAACAAATCCAAATCTGTTTGAATTAGGCTAATTGTTTAGAGGTATCTGTTTAAAAGTTTGAATTTTATCCGTGGTTTGTTTTTTCATTACGTGAAATAATTTGTTCACAATGATCAGGGAGTTGAAAAATCGTCATGCAAAACGTTTTTGTTAAAGGTTTTTTTTCATGTTTTGTTTCAGTTATTTTAGCTATTACCGTAAATATTTGTTCTGAAATCTTTTAAAAGCATAATAATAATGAATTAAAAATTTCCAGTGGTTTTACAATCTCACTGTGGATTCAAAATTAACTGTAGTAAATGCACACTAAATAATTTTTTTTTATTAAGATATGCCTAATTGTTGTTTTAGTTTAAACTTAATATGAAGCCTCACAATTTTATGCGTTAAGTGAATCATTGTTGGTAGGTAGGCTAACCATGTCAACTTCAAGGTATTTAAACTAATCGGAAATTATTAACATTTATATGTTTACTGTTTGATGACATATAACTAAAATACGAGATTGTTGCAAAATGATGTTACACCAACAATATTTATACTTTTCTTTAATTATCCATTGTTGTGATTATTTGTGACTCAAACTCTATTTGTGACTCGAACTCGAAAAATGGTACATTCGCTAACGGATAGAAAAGTAATGAATGCACATTCATTGAGCATTTTGCACTCAGTCGCTCGCTGATGTGAAGAAACATTCGGAAACATTTCATAGAATACTTTTTCCACGCGATTGCAACGTTTAAAAGCATTTTTGGTTGTACAGTTTTAATATAAATTTATTTCTGCATAAAGAAATACATTCCTTGTCATCTTTGCAAAAACCAAAACACCAACAACCTCTTTCCTTTTTTGAGTTGACTCAAAAATTATTTTAAAATGAAAAATGAAAAACATGGTCTATGTGCCCAGCCAAGTTATTATAAGGAACTTTCCTATCAAAACTAAATGTTTAGTAATTTGTTTGAAGTAATTTGTACAATGCACATTGAGTATAGGCCTACAGATTTTAAGTTCAATAGGTTGGCTACCGCGTTTCCCACTTTACAAGGTGTAAACGCATATGAAAAGGACGAATATTTAATAGTTTTTTTTTACCCAGAGCTTGTTTACATTTTGGTTTAAAGTGTATTATTACTTTGTATTAAAAACCCTCACAGTCGACCAGTTTCCAAGTTTTCAGAATTGTAGAGAAACTACCGTTTTTTCTTTTCCTCTACTCACGCAATTAATGTGTATAGTCAATGGCAATACCGTTGGATGCGATGTCCATTGGATTGCTCTGTAAACGATAATAAGACTATCGGTCAATGGTTACTGGTTCTGTCTGTTATTCACACAACACACGACATATCGCGTGTACAATATAGCACACCACTTCTTTCGATGTCATGGGAATTATCTCTTTGTTGTATGACTTGTATGAACTTACCGCTATCGTAGGCATATTCTTTTTATTTGCGTTTGTTTTACTTTCTACCAGTTTGATTTTACTACAGTCATTGACTTTATATCTACACGTGTAGATATAAAGTCAATGCTACAGTACAGCCGTTAATTGTTTTGATGTGCCAAGTGAATTCATGGTCAGATAACGGATATCAACAACTATAAAAAAGTACATGCGTTGTACCATAGTTAAAACTGCTATGGATCATAAACATAAACAAATGAAGTTTTTGGCCCGAAAATAAACATGATTTACCATTGCTTAAATGGAACTGCCAACATATTTTAATGCTATTAGTATAGGGGTTTTGTTTACTTTCGGGCCAAAAACTTCATTTGTTTATGTTTATGATTCATACCGG